GAAATATTGCTGATTAAACGAAATCATATTACGAAAAGTGAGAAAAAAAAAGGTTTTGCGTTGCAGATATTTGCTTGCCATAATAAAAGTTTTTGTTGCATGCAATAAAAATGCATAATATAGATAAATATACAAAGGCAAAGGTTTTACCAACAGTTTACATACATTAGCGACGAGTTTTCCTCTTAGGTGTTTTATTCATAATTCCCATTACGAACGTAATTAAGTGTATACAAGTAAAGTTATTCTACATAAAATGACATCTCTATGTTATCTGCAAAATGAAAATGAAGAAAAAAAAGCCAATAAAAGTCTGATATGTAATGATAAATAATAATAAATAAAAGCGTTATTTAAAATGGAAGTGACTAAAATTATGGCTGTAAAAATTGAATCAAGTGTAGGGTTAATTCAATGGTGAACCCTATGTCACTGTGAATTCGATACAAATTTATCACAGCGTGCTACTGTATCCATCTAACATATCTCATACATTTAAAACCCGGAAGTTTTCCCACGTTATTTTAGTACGGGTGAACGGACAGTTAACGGAGCATTTAACTGATGCTTGTCACTTTGTTAAAAATACTGTTGAATATGCATTTAGTAAAGTAAAAAAATACGTGTCAGGTTCATCAAACGATACACATAAATGAAAGAACAAAAAAAATGAATAATAATTTTTTCAGACTGATTTCAAATCAATATTTTGCATTTATTTGATACAGTACAACCTCGGCAAAACGGCACCTTGTGGAAAATAAATATGTTGGTTGTTATTGAGAGATTAATTTTTGTAAGAAGTCTTATTTAAGGAAAAAATAACTATTGTTGTTGTGAGGTGTTTGCTTTAGAGATATTAAATTTATTATTAATACTGTTGGAAACAAATAAACTGTCTGCTATTTCTAAGAGGTAATTGCTTCACAGAGGGCCGCTGTGTGAAGGTTACATCGTTTATTATAGCATACAGAGATAAATAATGACTACAGTCATCAGAAACTATCTTCAAAACCCCGTCATTAAAAAGCTAAGGAAATAGAATGAAGTTTAAGCTTCAACAAAAAAAAACAAAAAAAACATGCGCTCCCCACGGCTATCTAAATAATTTTTATGTGGAGAAGTTGTTAGTTGTTTGCGAGAAAAAAATGGTGCCGAACTGGTGCACAATCGAAGAACGCTTGAGGGGTATAACCCTGACTCTGTTTGCTGGTTTTTGACTTAAAAACTGATTTAGACTGTCGCTTAAACCACCATCACCACCACCACCACCACCACCACAACAACAACAACAACAACAACAACAAACATAAGCAGCATAAATGATTTTGTATTATAAAGCAATTTCAAAACTTTAAAATGAATACTGTATTTTTTGCAAACTCCAATTTTATTTTATTGTTAGTATTTGTATACTGATTTAACATGTATTTAATGCAGTGAATAAATTATTGCGTGTTTGCGTTTCCGGTAAACAACATAATAAAACTATAAAAACCCATGTAAATATCAATCTTAGATAGCAAAATTTGATTATATAGCCTTATTTATTCATAACTGTAATAAAAAGCATATGAAACTTAAAAACCTTTTATTGAAATATTTTGAATCTTTATTTCCCTTTTCAATTGAATCTGTTGTAACATTAAAATGTTTTATCTACGTAAGACGTAGAATAATCTGTGTTCGATACGGGAATTCCCCGACAGATCAATAGAACAAGACCAGGAAGTTTTGATTCCGTCGTCAAGTTCACACGAAAATAATGGGCTTTAATGGGATTTAAAATATAGTTCATGCTTGTCAGTGTCGATCTCTTTTTTTATCAGTAACTGGTGTGCCGGGGGGGGGGGGGAGGGGGCGTAGAGGGGTCATTTTTGGTAGAAGATTAAAATTAGTGCCAAGCGTCTATTAAAAGTTAGACTTTATAACTTTCACTGGAAAGTCCAAATGAGGCATATGAAAAACTTTCACCTTCTTTTAAAAAAAAAAAGCAAAAAAAAAACTATGATCAATAGAAATGACGATGGTGGAAACAGGCTTCCGTAGTTTTGTAACATGTAAAGCTCATCAAGTTGCGTAATAATAACTTAAAGTATCGTCTGGTCAAATTGCCCGGATATGATTGTTTGCCTCGTTGCATAAATCACTTATTATAACGCTACAAGCGCACAAAAGAGCTTATATTGTCATATTGTTGAAAAAAGTGACTTAAGTTAGATATCATTGGTTGATGTAAAGAAGAAGTCACCATTTCTTTGAACTACGCAATGAGCAATGTACATATTCAGTTTTCGATAAATAGCCACTTTTTCTCGACGGTATAATCAAATACTATAGTAGAGTATTTCACACTAATATTTTATACAACAAGACATAAATCTATCAAAATTTAATTAAATGATTTTGACATTGACATGGCATTTACATGCTTTAAACTATGCAAAAACAGCCGTGTTAAATACACAGGCAATTAAGCAACATGTAAGAAATATAAAAATCAAATTTTAATTTGTTTCACATCGAAAAGACATTGATGTGTTTTTCCAACAATATAACGTGTTGTTGTTGTTTTTTCTTTACTTGTTTAAATACAGTCACCAGAAAATTCTATGTATAACAATGAACACCATAAAACATAAACACTTCTGTATTATTGGTCTGGATACTGCATTTTTTTATTTTTATAAATTGACTCAAACAAATGCTCATTTTAAACAAATTTCAAAATGTGTATAGTAAAGGTATAAATGTCTTTAAAAATTCAGTATAAAATCGATACATTCTGGCCTTATTATCAATGTTGACACACTTATTACAATACTTTACTATATGAGCCGCGTCACGACAAAACCAACATAAAGCGTTTGCGACCAGAATGAATCAAGACCAGCCTACGCATCCGCGCAGTCTGATCAGGATCCATGCTGTTCACTTACCAATCCTATTACAAGTTGAGAAACTGATAGCGATAAGCATGGATCCTGATCAGACTGCGCGGATGCACAGGCTGGTCTGGATCCGTGCTGGTCGCAAACGCACTATGTTGGTTTTGTCATGACGCGGCTCATATAGTTTCATTAATTTTGATTCGTCTTTTGAGATGAGATAACTATTATGATGACGTGATAGTGTTGGACATGGACTGGTAGATAATCATATTACACATATCTTCCGGATTGAGAATAATTATCATCTTACAGCTTTTTTCCGGACTAGATTGCCATCTACGTCAATTTTCTTTCTTTATGCTATCGTTTTCCCTCTTTTTAAATAATAATATAAATTCAAAAAGGGTTATTTAACAATACAAAAAAAAACATCATCCATTATTTGGCTAGATTGCAACGTGCGACACCTTTTACCATTAAAAAAATAATATGATACCTAAAAATGTGAATTAACGATATAAAACATTTCTTCCACAATAAAAAAAAGTTTTCTGAATGATTAGATTGCGACCTTAGAGCTTTATTTTGGTATTCTTTTATTTTTATAAATATAATACCAAGAAAGGTGATTTAAAAATATAACACATTTCTTTCGCAATGAAAATAAGTATTCATTAACATTTAAGGATTAGATTGCGACCTATGACCTTTTTTCTTACCTTTTTTTATAAATATAATACCAAAAAAAGTGAAAACAGGAGATGATTCATCTTTTGTAATAGTTAAATACACATTATACTTTCACGCTGAGATGAACTAAATTCTTATCCATCATGTTGTATGACAAATTTGTCAAAATAACAATTTTGTAAAGTTTAAATGATTAAACATTCTAGTTTATTTCACTTCTTCTGAAGTGAAATCTGTTCTCTCTTAAAACAATAATGATGTGTTTTCATGTGAACAATGACAAGCATATTGATAAATGAGCCGCGTCATGACAAAACCAACAAGTGCGTTTGCGACCAGCATGGATCCAGACCAGCCTGCGCATCCGCGCAGTCTGATCAGGATCCATGCTGTTCGCTTTCAAACCCTATTACAAGTAGAGAAACTGACAGCGAACGGAATGGATCCTGATCAGACTGCGCGGATGCACAGGCTGGTCTGGATCCATGCTGGTCGCAAACCCATTATGTTGGTTTTGTCATGACATGGCTCAAATGATATTTTAAACAGATGGTGTTTCGAACAATTTATGCAATATTTCCATAACAAGTACGTTTACTTTCGGTATATTTCGTGATTTTCCGAATGTTGCCGATTTGACCAAAAGCGATCACTTAAATTCGTTTAACCACGAAACTGACGAAATCAAAATTAAATTTAAAATTAAATCATGAATGAGGAGGCTGAAATGAATGTGTCTAATATTTTGACATTCCAACTGTAGACCAATACAATGTAGCTTTAATTTAAACTTTTTTATCAAACCTTGAAGTACACAAACGGCCAATTATATACATTTTTTGACCACCAATTATTTATCACTACAAAATAAACTAACTTAAATATAAACAACTGGAAAGAAAGACAGCAACGTGTATGCACCTTTAGAATATCAGTTGAATAAATTCATCGCCGAAACTTGTAATTTAGCACGAAAAGATAACATTCAAAACGCTTAAAACATTTTTGGTCAAACCTTTGTTTACCTATATTTAAAAGTAATAAAACAATGAACAATGAGGATATTGTATTGTATACATTGATAATGACAATATGTACAAATAAAGATGACACAATCAACTTGAAAAGATTGTTTTATCACTGTTATAAATTGATAATAGCATGATATTGTAAAATAAATATGAAATAGCAAGTGAAATGTCGTACAATATAATTAGAATATGATTGTCGAAATGATACGAGAGTTAATCCAAAATATAAATTGTATTTTGTTTTTGTTTCGTAAAAGCACTAATTTTAAATGGAAATTCTAGACCATAAATATAAAAACTCGCAGCATTTTTGACACAAAATAGACACATCTGTGTATTTTTGAATTATATTATAACGTCTATAGAATATAAACAAAAGTAAACCTACCGGTCTATGAGCCTTGTGTTCGAGCCAACCTTCGCAGAACTTTTTGTTCCTAGCTGACATCCGTTGAAGACTTCCGTCAGACATTTTGTCAATTCTATATATTAATATCAATTGTCTTCAATTAAAAACAAATGTTTTAATGCTTTTTAAAGCATTTATCACTTCGCTGCTCCGTCAATGTTGAAAAACTTGTCCATGCAATGAAAGTTTACCTACATTCCATATAAAATCCCATTACGTCATAATTTGTATTAGCTTCCGAACTTACCGATCCCTCTTTTACTTAGGTTTATATCTACCTACAATAAAACACTTAACCACGTTGTGATATAAAATTTTCTTTAAACACCGATCTTTTTTTTAACATCTGTTTTCTTATCAGCATAAACTTCAAAATCAGTTAAACCCTCAATATATAACTACAACGTCCGCGTGCACTACTTCTATTTAACTTATCGAACAGTACTTTGAATACCTGATATCTGTATTTATACCCGTATATATCCCGATGTCATTGAACAAGGAAGTCTTAAAGGTATAAACTTCAATTTGTTATGCGAGACTCTTGAATAGGGTATTTTATGCATATGTTTGGTAAGTATCAAATAAGCCGTATATAAGTACATCGTAGACATGCTTGACTAATTTTCAATACTGCTCGACATTTCGGTAATTCCCCACACAGTTTTCATTTCGACATACATAAGACATCTGATATATGTGAATAAAGAATGGTTCAATTCAAGATGACCTTTTTAACTGACGAAAATGCGGTTTTAAAATCCGTCGACCATATCAAAATATGTCTGTAGTAACGTTAAATTGTAATATATCAAATTAACATACACTGACATCGATTGTAGAATAAACAACAATGTGTAAATTGTAAGTTATCTTGATTAGAAATTGGGATACATTTTACTTTTTGCTTATAATTTACTAATAATTTCTGCAACTGTTTCAGTGCCAAGTAAACTGTCGGGTTGCAACTCTACCTGTTAATTAGCATAAATGTAGCATAACCACTGAATAAAACAAATTTATGAGAAATTTATGTCGCATGGGATTAGAGAAACTACAACATTTTCTTTGTACAATTCACATTATACTAGTATATGACACTTAGACCTTATCGTTTAAAATCTTGAAACATTACCTTCGGTAACTATTTAAATTTAATGGTAAAATTAGAAATGTACATATTAACATTACAATACAAACTAACATCTTGATATTAGAAACCAAGTAAATTGTAAATATAGAAGGACTGGGCCGAAAATTTTATAACAACATTACCTATAATACTTAAAACTTTATATTTTAAATGCATATATTTGTACAAAGCACAAATAGCACGCCTTAATTTTAAGTAATGACAACAAAAACAACAACAACAATAAAACTATAATAACAATATGTAAATCCAGTCTTGCAAACGTTATGTGGCATTATCATTTAAATAATTAACCAGAGATGTATAAATCAAATTACCTGCTCAATAGAACACTTGTAAAGTTCTGTTTGGTGGCTGTAGAAAAAAATGTTCCGAACGTCATTTCAGGAAGCTATAAAAATTGCCCCGTTATTTCTCGTTGTTTAGAATCATTGATTCCATTAAATTCAGTGTTGAAGGTTGAATATCGTTTAAACCGGTGTTAGGTGGCCTGAAAGATGTTACACTTTTTCACTTCTCCCGTGAACAGATAAATAAAACCAAGACTGTATTTGAGCCGTGTCACGACAAAACCAACATAGTGGGTTTGCGACCAGCATGGGTCCAGACCAGCCTGCGCATCCGCTCAGTCTAATAAGGATCCATGCTGTTCGCTATCAGTTTCTCTGCTTGTTATTGGGTTGGTAAGCGAACAGCATGGATCCTGATCAGACTGCGCGGATGCGCAGGCTGGTCTGGATCCATGCTGGTCGCAAACCCATTATGTTGGTTTTGTCGTGACACGGCTCATTTTTGATGCATTTTGTTGTGTTCATTACTTCCGAGGGACCACCCCTTTCCAGAATCATTTTACACAAAATAATATGTTTGCCTAGGAACATTCATATACATACAATTACTTTGTAAAGAAACAAAAACAAGACTTTGTTTATAAATTATCGCCTTAAGATGTAGTTTTCTGTATCTAATATTTCAGATAAGTTCAGTATTATATAAGGAGTAATAGTTATTGACGATGTCCATAAAAAGTTACCATACAAACAAAACAAAGCATATCTGTTTTGTAAAGTCAATCTTTAAACTCTTAAATCATTAGCATTCGTTCGTGTATTTTGTTAAGCAGTAAACATGGACCAAATAGAAAGAAGGTGTTCGCATTATTTTCTCACAGTTTGCATGTCTTAAAGTGAACATAACTTTTCTTGCTTCGGAATTTTAAATTGGTAACGACAAGCAATACAGAGTTATTACCCTTTATTTCGTTAAAATCTCCTACTACAGCTGTTCTGTATAATACAATTATAATTAAATTTAAACATAGTTATTTTAGCTCATTTATGTTGCTCGTACTTCACTTCAGTGTTGTTCTATATTTCTGGTCCTTCGGAATCAGTTATTGTTGAAAATTGAGTGAAGCTCAACTCAAGCCTGTGCTAGGGGGCGTGAGGGATGATGTAATTTTGTTGTGATTAATGCTTCAGAGGATCACAGTTTTTTCCAAATTTCAAAGCACATTTCAACTACTCTCAAAGTTGCTTCTTAGAACTTATCAGTACTAATATCATAAGAGGTAAATAAGTCGTCCACCAAACAAGGCTAGAGCGCACTATTTCTGGACTGAGAGGTCAACATTTGATACCATTTGTCACAATCACAGTCTTGGACCTGCCTAAGGTTGACAAGATATACTTTAAACAAACAATTAAAACAACAATATCAACTAATAATTTCACACTTGGTTTGATGGAGTCTGTTTATAAGACATACAAGGGGTGTTCAAATATGAATGCAACTGGGTCAATTTTCAGAAGTGCTTAACAAACAGTGCAACAATAATTTACTCAGTCCTTTGAAATACTCACCACCATGTGATTTACACAGTTTTAGTCTTTTAATCCAATTTTAATTGCGTTTTCATAGGTATACTGTTCAGACACTGGAAAATAGCCGAACCGAGAATTTTCGGTTTGATATTTTCTTTCAGCAAGGTGTTTTTTTGAGCCTCGGAAATAGGAAAAAGTCAAAAGGGCAAGATCTGGCGAATAAGGAGGGTGAGGACGCTCGACAACCTTTTCCTGTTTCAGATATTCTCATACAATTGCCGCTTTGTGTGACGAAGCATTGTCATGCAACAACCTGACACTACGAAGACCTGTTGTTGGTCGACGATTTTTCAACTATTTCTTTAATTTATGAAGGACCTAGCCTTTGTTTATCTTGACATCTACAGATTTATCCCCCTTTGGTACGGCAATTTGATTCATGGACCTTGATTGGTAAATAAAATTAAATAAGGACCTTTTTGACTCTTATGGTGGGTTTTGCTATGCAAGGTCTTTGACTTTCTTTGGTTGCCCATATTTTGTTATGTATCTTTCGCTTGGGCTGATAAAAGATAACCCACGTCTCATCGCCAGTGAAGATATTTGCGAAAGATCGATTGTTGTTTTTAGGGAACAGTTTCAACAATTGTTTGAAGATTTTTACCTGAGCAAGTTTTTGCTCTTTTGTAAGGAGAACGGGTATCCATCTGGCACTTATCCTTCTCATTTTTGAATCATGTCTGATAACTGTATGAGCGGCTCCTACAGAGATACCAATGCATTTAGCTATATACCTATTTGTAAATATTGCATCAGTAGCAAGTTACCTTTTCAACCATTTTTTGCGAAGTTGCAGTTTCCGGACGGCGTGCATGATGTGCATAATTTTTACTGAATCCACACCACTTTTAAATTTCAAACACCACCGAGTGACAGATGAAAAAGAAAGTTTATTGTTCCCATAAACACGACATATTTCATTAGATACGTCTTTCGCCTGTATACCAAGAATACAGCGGTTCTTGATATAGGACCGTATTTGGTCTGTGAAAGGAGACCTTTTCGCAACCATTTTAGCTATATTATACACGAGTAGATAGCGTTAATCGAGCTATTGTCAAAGCTAGACTGAACTGATTTACACATGCATTGTATCAATTGAGAGCTAACACAAACATATATGCAATACATGTACATAGTTCATGCAAAATGTGGTTATAAGCGAGATATTGACCTAGATGCATTCATATTTGAACATCCCTCAAAATGACAAAATGCAAAATAAATCACTCCCTCAGCACCGTCTTTAGTGGGTTTCAATCTTCAACAATAACGTGCTAAAATCAATGATCCCGAAGAATAAGAAAATATAACAATACTGAAGCGAAGTACGATGCCACGCAACAATTGACATCTGCTCTAGTGAAGTATAAATAACTGAAAACTAGGTGATCTCTCGGAAGCAATCATGTCAAGTGCGTACAAATTCTGTTCTGTTTTGCTGTCGGATTAAAAAACTGGTTTCAGCAATGGTGTTTAGGTACTTTTATAATTGTTAAAACAAAATATCATTTTACACTATTGCACCTAAGAAACCTGCATAACTATATGACTGAATGTTTTGTTTGAAATCCATTACTTTATAAATGGAATATTATCAATTCACCTACTCAAAAATTGTTCGTCTGGTTTACATATCATAACATACCAATAATAATACAGGCTAATCCAGATCAAAAAACCCATTTGATAGTATTTATATATTGTTTTAAGTACTTTTTATAAAACTTGACCATTAGGTTAATCCTGGTTAAGACTTTGAATTAAAGACACCGAATAATCGCATTTTGTGACCGTTACTTTAAAAGTGTTTCAATGTTAAATGTGTCAGTTGTTTCATAATAAAGAGATCATATGATATAACTTTATGTATATGATTCTTTTTTGGAAATTTTCATCAAAGATTTTACGGTGAAAAATGACGCGTTCATTTTGATAACAATTTGAAAATGTTTTAAATGCAATGATGGCGTTAAAAGGACCGGGGAATTCTTTGAAGAAAAATCCATACGGTGATCCAACAAAAGCAAGCCCATATGGAAAACTACCCACAAAATCTGTAAAGAAGCCAAAGAAAGAAAAATCTTCGGATGAACCAGCCGGAAGTAGTTCTAATGGCGCTCCTGGTGTTGCGCTGAAAGAAGTGTTTGGGGTTCTTGCTGATGAAAATGGCCGAATAACGTCGGCCAAACTGCGATCCTATGTCAAAGAACTTGGACTCGATTTTACAGATGAAGAAGTCAAAGACATGATGCAGATGGTTGATCCCTCAGGAAAGGGTGAAGTTTCGTACAATAGTAAGTATCATTTTATTATTGAAAAAAAAAGAATCTAGGGCATTTTCACAGAGGAACTGTTGTTTGAACTGAAATTAACTAACGTGTATTCTTTCATAAATTATAAGTGGAATAGCAGAAATTATCAAGGTAGAGTTATATAGATAAAATTCACAATTCGATACTTCATGCGGCATAAGTTGACATAATGATATAAAATCATATTAAAATGGAGTATACTGTTTAATTTCAATACTATAAATGCTATTATATGAAATATCTGTTTTGTTATGCTTTGATATTATTTCAGTTTAGAAATGATGTGGTGTACGAGTATACTAAATGTTGATAACTTCTTTTTTTCAGACTTGCTTGGAGTTGTCCGAGATTTCAGCCACGAATTTCCAACAGTGAAACTAGTAAGTAGCATTTACTGCCAGATTACTGGAGAGTTATCTGAATGAAAATGGAGATACAATTTTTGTTAAAAGTTCTTGCAAATATATGAAATGTAGCATTTACTAACGTTACTCACTTAATATAATTACATTATTTGTAAAGATAAAAAAATGACAAATAATAATAATAATAGAAAACGAATTTGCTTGTAGACAAAAAGGATCGAAAATCTAATTTCGTTAAAAGTAATATAAATCATTACTAAAGACTGCGAGATCTATTTATCATTTAAGGCAAAGAAACAGTAAAAGTTCTCTTAAACAAGTTATTCATGTGTTTTTTTCTTTTTCCTGAATTCAGACAGAAGAGGAATTGACAAGAGAACTAACTAGTCTAACAACAATCACTGAATCATCCACGCAAGAGAGTAACACGGACGATATTCAAGAAGAAGCAACAAGCAGTGGTGGTAAAAATGTTGATAATATTGACCAAGTTGAAGACAGTGTAACGGTGCCTGATGAGACTCAAGACTCGAGACCAAAATCATCTCGAGAAAGAATAGCAGAAATTGCAAAAAGAGCTATAAAAGACTTAGATGACAAAATGTCTGTCATCAGAGAAGATGAGGAACTGGAAGAGCCCGACGATGTAGAAAGAGAAGATAAAGAATCTGGCAATTCAAACAGACACTCAGAATCTGAAAATGCAGAGAATGATAAAAATATAAATGAAGGTGATAAAGAAGAAAATGAAGAAGACGAAGTTTTTATTGACGAAAACGACACAACAGGTGCGGATGGTAAAAATAAATCAGATATATCTAAAGACGAAACAGTCAATACCTCTGTTTCAGCTGAAGGTAAAAATAGTGAATCTGAGGATGCTACAGGCAGTGAACTCGAAACTGAAAACGAATGTACAGATAACATGTCAACTCGAGCTAGTACTGTTCAGGAACATCGTCTTGATTCAGCAATTTCGACAGCTGTTGGTCGAGAAAGTATATCTTTGAAGGAAGAAAGAGACATTAAAGAGAAAAGGAGTAACTCAAGGAAACGTGGTACAAGTCAGGTTGGTAACTTTAAAGAAAAATTATGCGAAATGTATGTAAATGGTCAAAGAGATAAATTATAAAAGTTGTTCTGTTATTCAAAAAGTGTGTTACAGACAGGCATAAGATTTCATCCATCTTATACACTATAATTCTTAATGTATCTAGTAAAAAAAAAATCAAATCATTCATACCGCAAGAGAAATGCATTCATTCGCTGTTTCATAAGACAAGTATTTACTTAGGTTAACCGAAGCACGTTTAAAAAATCAACTCGATAGTAGCTGATAAAGGTGAGAAAAAGGGACAAACATAGAAGATGGACATGTACCTAGAAGTCATCGGCTTATCGCATGCAGATGCCTCTACAACATCTACTAAAACTAACTTTAAATTTGGGTTTCTTTCAAATGAAGACACCATCAAATACTGTAAGTTAGTACCACCAAAGGATCATGATTAGGTGCATTCAATAATCAACATTTAAAATATAATCTTTTTCAGTCTTCAAATAGATCAAGAAAAGGATCAATACAGAAAGACAATCTGCGGAAGACAAGTATGAGTAAAGAAAGAAGTAAAAGTAGGCCACGAAAGTCTGAGGAGGAGAAACCCCAAGTTGTAGCTGAACGACGAAAGTCAGTTCCTCGCAGAAAGTTCAGCGGGGTAGATGACCCGAATTTTTACTCAACTATGGGATGTTCGTTGAAATTATCACAGATTAGGACGAGACAAAAGATTTTATATGTGATGTGGCGAGCTGTTTATGACGAGGCAATACGAAGAGCAGAACAGGAAAAGACAAAACTAAAGGTACAATAGGAACGGTTACAAATCATATAAACAAAGAATGATTAAAACGAATGTTAATCAATAACAAAGTAGCAAGTGCTGTTACGGTTTAAATGCATTAATTGGAATGTCATTTATGAAGGATATGTTATAGCCCAAATTATTCTGAAATGCCAAAGAAATAACAATAACAAATCGGTCTTAAGATATGATGTACTGTATTTGTAATTATTGAAGAATTTCTTTTTTACTCAAAGTTTCATTTGCAAAGATAATGTAAGTGAAATTATGCAAACATCCAAAAGTAGGGAAAACGTAATAATGCAGTTCAAGCAAGACACATTTTATACTATTTCATCTATTTTATACACTAAAGAGGCAATATCCGTATCCATATTTGCACCCTGTATATGTATTAAGTACATTGAACTTATAACATTACTTAATGCATATTTGTTAAGGACTCCATTTCTTGAGTTTTTAGAATCAATGCTACAACGCGTTTTAACTATGAACCCTTTTGAATAGACTTTTCTTAACAAATACAGCTTCCTATGGGGGTTTCCCTAAATAATACCACATAAAACATACTGCATTACGTGTTACTTCACTTAATGCAAAAAAAAATGTCATTTCAATTTGAAAATAACTGAAATATTCATGTTCTTTTAGCTTGTTCTTATTGCTCTTATATCCATTTCAGGCAAAGAGGAGAACTTCGAGAACATGACGGCAACATATTTTATCATTTAGAGGCATACGAAGCATTCAAAATGCTGCTAGAAAATTTAATACAAATGCAGTTTATAGATCCATGTTGAAGCATTAAATGACGTTATGGAAAGAAATCAAATCTTTGAAAAACTCCTTAAAAGCAATATATGAAATGCACACATGGTGTGTTTAACTTACCTGCTTACAAGCAGGAGCATTTTTTTACTGCATGCTCATATTTGCAAAATGTTATTCGTGTGACAAATTAGTTTGTAAAACACAATTCATGTGACAAATGAGGTCGTAAAATGTGATACGTTTTATAAATAAGTTTGCGGAATGTAATTTGCGTGACAATTTAGTTTGCAACGTGATTTGCAAAATAATATTTGTGTGACAAATGATTCTGGAACGTGATATGTATGCCAATTTAATTTTCGAAATGTGATTTGTGTGACGAATGAGTTTGGGACTAAGATAAACTTCAACAGCCACGATATTCATTGTTCAAGAATATGTAAAACACGAAAATCACACTGACAAAAGCTGTTCTCGAGATAAAAATTGCTTCAAATATTGTAATGGAGATTTTCTTCAATTATTTTTTTTTTCTGAAAGTTTTTTATTCTTTAGCTTCTTTAGCAAGACTGTATATTATAGTCATTCACGTCATCCTCATAAACATGTATCAATATTTCATTGTTGGTATTGAATGGATGTTACCCGGAATTTAACATATGTAGAGTTTTCCCTATTTCATACTGTGTGTACAAACTTTTACCATCATAGTGATTAACGAGTAATGCTTTTCCGCTTGTTTCCGATATTTTATTACGAAATTGTTACTGTAAAACCCTGGATATGATGGGGGAAAAACCAAGTTCCGCAAAAATGTCTATAATTAAATGACTGTGACATCTTCTGGAGCGTTATTTTATTTGTAATTTTGTGACAGCTATGCAAGAATTACATCATTTATATAGATAATTAGTTGATCGTTTACATATACATATGTATTACAACATATTACAGTTGGAAATAAAAACTATGAACTGTTCTAAAGATTTTTTCAAAATCCCATTATTGCGTTTAAAGTTTTGAAATTATTTATACACATTGACAAGATATGTTTATTAAATATCCGTAAAAGAAGCAACTCAAATATCGTAATCAGGTAAAAGATGTTGTGCCGAACTTGGAATGCTGACAATGTTTAGTAACCGGAAGTTCATGTGGATGATAAATAAACAACCGGAAGTTGGATGTTGAGGAGTTAAATAATAAGATTTTAAACTGTAGATCATAGATAGTGAAAAAATAACAAATCGTATTTAATGATGTAGTATTAATAAGCCTTAAGTAGAAATTCGTGTTTACGTTTTCATGAGTGAAAGCAGATCTTTTTGGGCCAGAAACGATTTTTTTTTTGTTGGTAGAATAAATTCATTAACAAAAATAGTAGTATTCATGTAAACGGTCAATGTAGTTCTTTTCAGATGCAAATAAAATTTCTGTAATGCGTATTGTCAGCTGATGAAAAAAGAAGTTATTTTAATTAATCATTTTAGAATAATATGACTTTTTACATTTCTTTACTAACTGATTTCGTCCAGAGACATAGATAACAGTTATCTATGTCTCTGTTTCATCACTGATTTAGCTAAGGTAAGACAGAATTTGGGCTTCATCGCAGACACACCTAAAGTAAAACAAGGTTCTTGCTTTCATCAAAAATATATGTAAGGTAAGTCAGGATTTTGACTTCTTCACAGACATATCTAAGATAGGAAATGGGTTGGTCTTCATCACAGACTCATATTAGGTAAGACATGTTTTGGCCTTATCACAGATAATACTTTTTCTTAACAGTTTTTTTTTTATCACAGACATATCTAGAGCATGACTTGGATAGTTCTTCATAATAATCGTATTTGAAGTAAGACTGGTCAAGTTCTTCATCATAGACACATTTGAAGTAATACTGGTCTATATATTTAAGATAGGACTTTGCTAGTTCTTTATCATAGACATATTTCAGATAGGAATGGACATATTTCAGGGTGGTGGTAGATTCTCAGAGAGTACAATAATATGGGTACAACTGAGTGAATAAAGTAACTACCTAACTGTGTCTTGGAATTGGTTCTAGACAGTTGGTGGTCTAGACAGTTGGTGGTCTAGACAGTTGGTGGTCTAGACAGTTGTTTCTTCATTTGTAGGTTTATGATCACAAGTTCCAATCCCAACAAAGGATTGTTTCTAGTACATTTGCATCTTTCTATTAAGAAAAATGATATAAGTAAAAACACAGATATATAAACAAATCTTATCTTATATTTAGCTCCATGGTAAAAATATGAATATAAGATTTCAAAATAACTGAACAATAAAGCTTTGATTGTTTTTAAAGAATGGACAATCACACTCCTATTAAAGTCACAAAACTAATGAAACTTTCCTCATCTATAAATTAAAATCAAAAGAACACTTTATTCTATAAATATAATTTATTCAAAATAAAATAAGCATTCATTTAACAAACAACAATAACAACAAATTCATGCACAAAACACGTTTCCTAGTTAGGCTAGCAATGTATAACATTTTTGTATAACACTTTGAAAAAAAAATTTCTTCAATATTTCAAATGTACACCTCATACACATATTCCATTATTTTAGTACAAAATCTTTAGAGGGGCATGTCTCCAAATGAAATAAAATAACCGTTCAAGAATTTAAACTAAAAAAAAAAATAAATTTACAGTCCAAGAAATGTATATACATTCACAAACTAAGTGAAACTTTGAATGCATTACCCACAATATGTCATAATTTTCAATCTTTATTACCAAATTTTCACCCGAATTTTAAGTAACAGGTTAATTTAAATTTCTGTATTGTATAGAATTCTGACAAGTTTTAGAAGACTGTAAGCACCTTAAGTTATGTTAATTTTTTATAATGTGTACACTTGGCATCATTTTTACTGTTACAACAATTTTCAAGTTTTTGTAGTTGGGAGGTGAGCTGCTTTAAACTATAGCTAGTATATCTCATGAATTGTATTGATAACAAGAATGAAGCCTAACTCACTTTTTTTTAACCCTTAACCTGCCGAGTTTCTGAAATGGACTTTTCCAGCTTTTTTTGTGGATCAGTCCATTCTCAATTTGAGGATATTAAGATGAAAATTTAAAGTTAGTCAGCCAACACTGAATAATATATGATTAGTTATATATGGTTAGACTGCAAGGAAGTGCAGACTGGCCTTAGGTTATACTGGTCACAAAGAAGTCACTTCCAGTTTCAGCAAGATAAAGATTACAGGCACATCACGCCTAAGAAACAAATAAATTTTTACTTCTTTAGGGAGTGCAACAATAAATTTTATAATGTTAATGGTTTCTAAGGGAAATGTTAGAGGCTTGTTACCTGAAATAATAGTGATAACTGAGTAATAATTTGTCATAATAGTAGTAAAATGTAAAACAAAGTAGTATTTTGCCTTCCATACAAAAAACTTATTCACTATAATTGTACTTATTGCCAAAAAGCAACAGATGAAAAAGATGGTTAAGGTAATTGGCCAATGAGAAACTTTTTGGATATTATAAAACTACAACTAAATTAAAAAGCTTTTGAGAAATAAAACAATGAAAGCATTTTTGAGGCATAAAGGGCTTTTAAAGGTGTAAAGCTATAAGGTGTAAAGCTAAAACTGGCAAAATGTTATAAAAAGAATTTCCAAAAGTTGTACATTCACATGATTTTCACATTCTAATGATTTTATCTAAAAGAGTTTTAACCAAAAAAAACAACAACAAAAAACATAAACAACACCAACAACATGCCACTCAGTATTTTTTATGCTCACAAATTTTATAAGGAAAAAATATAAAATGTTCCCTAGCAAAATTTTCAACTGCTATTTTTTGTTGATTTTGCTATGGCCCAGTGATAATTTGAAATTTGTATAATACTATCATCATTAAATTTGTGTTAAGTATGTACTAAAAAACTATATTAGTTGGCTATCTATATGCTATCAATAAAAGCAATGCATATAGAATCAAGCTAAATAATTTATTTTTTACTAATACTAATTCTTAAATGCCATGTTTTCATAAACTAAGTTCACAAAATAATACAGCAAATTGTAACTTATCTCATGTAGAAATGTATATAAGCAGTAATTTTTTTTCTGATGGCTTCTGCTTTTTAAATTGGGAAGATAATCACTGTAATCATTAAAACTGGTAAAACTGAATGTGAAAAAGAAATCTTTTTTTTTCATATGAAAGTATACATGATGGTTCCAGCAAAAGCCACATGCACATAATCCTTCAAAGAAACAAGCTGGTAAAGAAGGTTGGGGCAAAATCTTCTTAATTTGGAGGAATTTCAAGATTAGATTGGGAATTTTTGGAAATTGGGAAAAAAACTACATCAAACCTGTATTTTACAAATAACCTTCTAACAAGTTGTACTACAAAGATAGTTGTATTAATTTCAAGTATTCCAATTAAAGGGAGGTAACAAAATTTATACCCATTAATATAACTATTATATCATTTATTATGAAAGTCTAATTATTAAACATCAGGAAAAAAGTTAACAAAAGATAAATGTTAATGATAAAATAAAATCAAGATCTTATTAAATTTAAAACATATATTCTGCTTAATATAAGCAAATTTGTGGCCAAAAAGTTGACTTATTCAGCCATGATTTATAGGCTCTAAAAAAACAAAATGTTTACATATTACTAATAAAAGTTAAAACATCTGTTATGTTAACTTGAATAGCCAAGGTGTAATTTATAAAATGATTCAACGGAAATCATGAAAACATGGTAAGTGAATTCGGTTTTTTCAAAGTGTTTTACTTTTTTGAGCAAAAATTGAATTTTGGCATTAACATCAAAACATCACAAATAGTACCTAAGACTTAGTATCCATAATTAAGATTTGCATAATTGACTGATAGCCTACATTTAGGATTAAAAGCATTTTTACTGCTTTATCCCAAGCTTCTTTGAGGGTTAATAAAAGATATAAGGCCAAGATTGAAACTGTTTCACCACTCAGCTATGGAGGTCTCAATATTCAAAAACTAGTTTATATATACATGACATGCATAATTATGATTAGGTCAATAACTAATACCATAAATTGCACAATTTATAACTCAATAAAAATACAGTAAGAATCTAATACTGATTATTATGCAATGTATGCAAAAAAAAATGTACATTTTGTATACATACGAGGGTTGTCCCAAAATGTCGTAGACTACATTATTTTCTCTTCAACCTGACGTCATAACTTACTAAAATTTACCAGATATCTTCCTTGGTCATTTGTTAATTTACCTACTTAAAGTCAATAGCCAATATATTAGGTAACGCTTTTTATCAGGGTTTTATATTTAACAGTACAGCATACCTGGAGCACGATAAAATATTAGTCAGTGTTGAGAGCATGCTTCTTAAAATAATGCCTTTAACTTCTAGCATAATAATAATTATGGAAAATACATTCATGTGGAATTACGTCATTCATTTTTACGTCATATCACCAACAGACGTTTATGTAACGTTAATTTGAAAAAGTGTGTAGCATAAAACGTAACAGCAGTGCTATTTTGAAAATGCCCAAAATGGCGACGTCAGATGAAAATGCGGCGCAACGCAATGTCATTGAATACTGTGTTGTTGAAGAAGCGTCCAGCGTTAATTGACAACATGGAGAACATTATATTTTATCAAGATAATGCACCTTGCCATAGATCTCAGGAGACACAGATTGAACTTGATGTGATAGGTTTTCAGAGACTTCCGTACGCCCTAAGACTTTGCAGTGTTTCCTTATTTGAAATCACAATTACGAGGTCACAGGTTCGAAAACTTCAGCGAACTCCGCCAGGAAACTCAACTCTGCGAGTGTTGAGTACATTGAAGCAGGACTGTTTTGAAAACGTTTATGATAAATGGGTCGCCCCACACTGACAGTGCATCGCGAAACACGGTGAATACTTTGAAAAACATTTTAAAAAATCTTATAACGTCATGACGTTTATGACGGCGTGCGCCGGGTATGTATAGGTAGCATTCTTTAAATTTTGATAACTTGGTCAATTTTGGAGGTATTTTAATTTTATTTCGCATAGACACACATAAAAGGTGTATTGACTTTTCCCTAGCTGGACGACTCTATTGTTTTATAATTGATTGAGTAAGAGACTTTGTCTATGATATTTTGGGACAACCCTCGTATCAATATGTAAAATCAACATTTAAACTGACACTATGACCATCAAGTCATAGCAAATATCATCACCTTAGTGCAGAAACAGGTTAACTCCAATTAAATTTCAATAGGAGTTAACCTGTTACTGCAATGAGATGACGGTATGTAGTTTAACCTATAAAAAAAAAAAAGTTCAGAAAGACAATCTTTGGTGAAGAAACATTCTCTACAAAAACAAGTATGCCTAATGACGCAATTTCTAAAATTAGCAACAATGACGCACTTTCTAAAAATAGCAACAATGACAATGACGCAATTTCTATTCTGAACAAATTGTGGTAGTTCTTTAAACAATTCTTCTAAGGCAGTAGTTAAAGAACTAATTGCTAGAACAATTGCCTTTAACCTAGCTGTTTAAAGCAACAAGCATTAGTAAGGCTGCAAAGCAATTTTTGAGCAAAACTTGTCCTATCATGCCAGCATGACACTGACAATTCCATTATTGTAAAAAAAAGACACCCTTCAACCTCAGTAAAGAAGAAATTAAAGGTAACTATCTAACTGATTATCAAAACTCTCAGGAAACTTCAACAGGACTGATTAAAGGGGACAACTTGTTTATAATATGATCATCTTCATGTAAACTATCAGCAGTATTAACAAACGCTACCCCAGGTCTAGGTGGTCTGTCATTCCTTTTACTAGATGCATGACGTCTTAAACTGTTTGACTTCTTTTTCAGCTTCGTTCCTTGACCGTTCTGTAACTTTGGTGGAGCACTAGACACTTTACTAACACCAGGTCCGTACTGTTCAAAATCTGAATCAGAAAGCCCTGATCCTGATTCAAAAGAATGAGTTCTGTCTTTCCAATCCCTATCCTTTCTGGTTTTCTTACCAGATTCAGTTTTTACCTCACCACCTTCCTCTCTTTTCCCTGCTGAGCCAAGACCGGAATCTCTTCCATTGTTTGCTTCTAGATCATCGAATGGCTCTGATGCTGATCCTATATTCAAAATACCACTTTTTGCATATTTAGGACTATCAATACTGACAAGATTCTTATTACTGGCTTTTACGTCTTTTAAGTTTGCGGAGAGCTTCAACAGACAGTCCTCTTCATTTTCAGAACTTTCTTCATCCACTGTGAAAAGACCATCAATGTTTTTATCAATTTCGTATGAATTTCTCGTGTTCTTCATGCCCATATTTCTGGGATAACCTGTAATATTATTACCATCACTACCACCAAGTCCAGCTGATTTCATTCTCTCATGCTTAACTTTATCTTCTGTAGTTTTATTTAGAACACTGAGGTACTGTGAATTGTTTTTCAACTTTGCTCTAAGATCTTCAACTGTCTGGTCCCTGTCTTTTAACTTTCGCTCCAGTTTGTTAATTTTATCCTGCTGCTCAGTCACTTGCTCTGACAGCTCTAATATCAATGCCATTTTCTCGCCTCCGGGCAGTTTTGGTGAATCTTCTACAATGCTAAATTTTGGTGTAACATCACCTTGACTAGCTTTGGTTCCTGAAAAAAAACGTAAACCACTTAAACGATGTCTCTTCTCCCTCATTAAATGAACTCAAATATAAGTAATCGAACAAAAGATAAAAATCTGCAGCAAAGATATTACCAGGCAACTTATGATTTATCTTCAGAATTTATAACAGCAAACATGTTGAAGTAAGATGCCTTAAGAACTCGCACAGGATGTCTACTTTATGAAAGGACTCAAACATTGCTTGGAATATAAAACATGGTGCACATTAATTTAAACTTATTTGAACTTTATTGGAAACAAGTTCTTGCTACTTATATAAATTTTGAGTCTGCTTCCTGGAACTAACCAGTACTGGTGAGGAAACATGGTCATGACCCAAGTAGGGCTCAAACCCATGATCCCTAGTTGAGAGGCAGACACCTTAAACGCTTTGTCACAACTTTCCTTTATGATATACATTAACAAAATATAAAACTTTTAAAAGCTCTCAAGAACTGTTTAAAAAAAAACTTAAAAAATTGATAAAAAATTATAGCAATAAATACATAACATTAAGACAATAATTAAAAAAAACTACTTCTATACTCTGCAATTATGTCGCTACAAAGGGTTAAAATGTTACATGCATGTTATAAAGAATTATTTAAAGGTACCTGCTAAACGTTTATTTTCCTGTTTCAATCTATTGATCTCCTCCTTTAATTCCATTATCTGAAAATTTACTTCTTGTTTGTATTCTGCCATCTGTGTGTTAAACTGTTTCTGTTTTCTTCTTTGTTTTTGTTTCTGAAATAAATAAGGGTTCAATGGTCAATGTATATTGTTAAAATATTGAATGCTTACTGAAATGTTTTGAGATATTTTTCATCAGTGTTTCTTTAACAACCAGTAGATGCAACCAGTTTATTTGTGTCATGTACAAGTTTTCATTATGTATTGGGGTTAAGAATACTAGTGAAATTACAATGAAAACTAAATGATAACTTCAAAGCCATTACATTGTATGATAATAAATGCTCTTTCCAAAGTAGTCATTCACATACACAACAAACTTCAAAATTATACTTTTGTAGTCAAAGAACAAATAATGAATTACTACATGGTAATCACTTTCTAATGGGTGTAACAGCTTAGTGGTTTAAAGTCTACTTCTCAACCAAAGTACCAAGGTTTGAGCTCTGCTTGGGTCACAAACACTATTTCCATAAAATCATGACACAAAATAATGTTTAGTAAAGGCACCAGGCTTCCAAGAGATATTAAAAAAAATTCTTTATTAAGTGATGAAATTCAAATTTTTTCCAGCATATTTTTCACAAATGAGCTTAGAATTAAGAATATTTCAGTAACATGTTTTAACATGTATGTGAGAAAGATCATCTATTACCATTTTATTGACTTCTGTTTCTAAATCCATCTTCTCCTTTTCCATTTTCTTGATATAATGATCTTTAGCTTGCAATGTCTCATCACAAGGCTTATCTTCTCCTGCTCTCTCAAGATTTTGTGAATTGACATAGTCCAGTTCCTTAAGAAGTGTATCCACACGGTCTTCTAAATCCAGACGGTTACTTTCGCTCTCACAGAGCTGCTTTGTCAATGTTTCGATAGTTGCTTCTCTGTCTCCATCTTGGTTGTCCAAATTCGAAGGTTTGCTCGATTCCTGCAGGAATATTTCAAGAAAAGTATCAGTTTTCATGTCCTTCATTAAAATAATTAGCAACATTGTTACAAATTTTTAACATTTTCAATGTGAGACAGTACGTTTGGTAAGTTTTAAAGCCAATTTTAACACTTTTTATGTCATTTCTCAGTTGTCAGTCCACCTACCATAACAGGTTTAAACCAGAAATTACCAGTTTCTCCGTTAGTGTGACTGACTACAAATCCCATATGACTCCTGAATCAGTAGTGAGAGACATGACCATTAAAGTCAATGACCCCTGAATTGATATCATTCTGAATTGTACAATTAATTTTCACAAGTTTTATTAATAATTAAATAATGTCAAAATTATCTTTACTTGGGACCATTATGGTATTTATCAGAGAAACTGTTTGCAATCCACTATTTAAAATCTTGTTGCCATAAACTTTCATTTCATTGTCAAATATTGAATTCTTTTAACAGCATGAGGATGTCTTATTCAGAGATCGAAGTTTCCACTCATCTGCTCATAATAACATAAGTACAAGTGGAATTTAAGAGAACTTGATGCAGGATGAGTAGAAAAATGTTGCCTGCACATTAGATTAATATAGAAGCTACCGGCAGACTTCCCGAAAGTTGAAAAAAACTGTCAGACATTCGGTCTGACAAACCACGAAAATCTGTCGGACCGAAACAAAATCTGTCGGACCAAATAAAATTGATCAAAATCAAAGAAAAACTTGTGTTTGTATTTCTAAGACACTTTTTGTTTTTTTTATTTTTTCGCCGTAAAAATTGGCACAATCCGTACAGCGCATTTTCCTCATCTCCCTGTCATACACCAATGATTCATGATTCTGCTTCTATTTTTCATTAAATTTTGTCTCAGGTCTATTCTTTTCATCCTTTTATTGCTGTTCTGCGCACTCTTCTGACGTAGATTTTCGGTTTTTCCCAGGTTTGGCACCTTTAGCGACGCCATTTTGTATACATGCGGCTTGGATAAAAGCCGGACAGTCGGACCGATCCGGAATAAAAAATTGTCGGACCTGATCAAAATTTATCGGACATGTCCGTCGGACCGACGTATTTCGGGAAGTCTGTACCGGTACTTGTCCTGTAGGACGAGTGACTGAAAATATTTTTCGATGCCTAACTTATTGACTGCATTTAAAACAGTCGTATTGAAAGAATGATCAATCACAAACCTTGGATTCTGTTATCTCTTTGTCTTGTGAAGAAAGTTTGTTTCTCTTTGTTGGCAATTCATTTGACCTGAAATAAAAACAAAAAACTGAAAGATAATCAGGGCTTAAAAATTTAAACATTAAACTGGATTTAATTTAGATATAAAGAGACAAATATCAAGGGTATATCGATTTTGACAGTTAAAATACAATGAATAACATTTAAATATGTGTTATAAATTGTTTCTACAAATTAAACATGATAATGATATATCCATACAAAATTTACATACTATTATTTATATATTTAATTTTCATACAACCTTTTCCCTGATATAGACGTTTTTGACGGCTTTTTGGCCCCCCCCCCCCCCTTTTTTGAGGCCTCAAACAGTGAAAACATGCCCTATTTAGGCCCCAAACACTGTTTTTCGTTTGAGAAATGTTGTTAAAAAAGTGACCACTTTTTGGGCGCCGCCCCCATCCAAATGTTACATCAGGGGGTTGCCAGAAGTGACAGGCTAAAAATGGCCTCAGGTCGATCTTAGGGTAACTAGTAGCCGACACTGAAAAGCCTTTTACTCTATCTGAATTCATTGAGAAGTTGCAGCACTTTGAAATCAGTTTTGATGGAAAAAAACAATGCAAAATAGTGATTTTTGGCAATTTTAAGACATCCCCCTGTTGCCATGGTAACAGGAAATTTACGATTGTATGAGCATGCTGTTACAGAGGCTATGGTCTAGTCAACATTTGTGCCAAGTTGTTTCATCAGTATTGAAGCATTTTTCATAGTTACATAGCAGTTTGAACTTGTTACAGGAGGCTTTTCAATGAAAACGGCCATTTTTCGCAATATGCTCATGGGGTAAAAGGTTAATCCAATAATCTATTCAATTCAGAGATATCTGTTAAATCAAAAACAACCAATCAACATGTTGAATAAACAAGGTGACATGCAATAAACAGTTAATGGATAAAACTGCTTTGTAATACAGTGGGCAATACAATCATCATGAATTAAGGACTGAGGAATTCTTGGAGAAAGTGGTTGAATTTATGGACGTTTATAAAAATGTGTTTTTTTGAACCAGTAAAATGTAATGTTTTATTGCGTGTTATACGTAAATGAGTTAAATAAATTATTACATGTTTTATTTGTTTCTAAATTATTTACTAAACAAATATTTACTCCTAGAAAAGTCTGTAAATTGTCCTTTAATTAAAAACTTATTAAATAATTAATCAAATAATACTAAAAATAACTAAAATAAGCATATGATATAAAAGCATTATGTAGTTGGCTTATTTACTTTATAGAAAAAAATATTAATGGATCAGGGGTGAAGTGTCTTTAAGTACTGATTTTGGGGGGTGAAGTGTCATGAGGGGTGAAGTGTCTTCAAAATTTGAGGGATGAAGTGTCTGGAGGGTGAAAGTGACTTGGTACCAAATTTTCCATCAATGACAACTCTATTTTCCGGTAGACAGACGTTTCACTATTGAGACGGTTCACACCAAGACGTTTTACTCCCATTTGGGAGTGAAACGTCTTGAAGACGTTTCACTCCCTTTTTATACCAAAATTATTTTGATACTTATGATATACTAAAATAGACCTAAAATTTTGAATTGAACTAAAATAGTCCTTAAATTTAATAAAAATAAATTAAAAAGGGGGGGTGGGATTTTACTTTTTTGTCAAGTACTTTAAGTTCTATCATTTCAGTTATCTTATCTTCTTTATTGTTGTTTTGAAATAAGGTATTTTTCTATTCTTGGATTCATATGTGCAATTATCACATTATTTCACTTAAAGAAAAAATATTTTTGATTAAAATAACACTTTAATATAACTTAACTATTTGATCTTTTGTAAACATGGACTCATTAGGCAATTTTAATTTAAAGCATAACAATCTTGTGACAACAATTAACTTTGAGTAATGTGTTGTTTCGTTTTTTGTTTTTTGGGGGGGATAAAAATTGTTAAATTATTTAATGCTAGTATAATGGTTTTACAATATATGTCAAAAATTTTAATGGCCATTGAAATCAGAAAATCTTTAAATTGAATTAGAAGCATTGGGACTTTTTTAATATTTGCCATGTATAATCACTTATGGAGAAGTTTCTGTGTTTAAATTAGCTGTTGTCAAAAATATTTTAATGGTCCAATAAACAACTGATTAGTAAACTGTTGATGCTTAAGTGCAGTGTTTATACAACTGATTTAATAGTGGTGTCAAACTGTTAGTTGATGGTCTCAGTGTTTATACAACTAATTAGGTGATGAGATAACACCACAATTACTTAAGTTTGTTTAATGGCTACTGTTTAATAAATTGATGAAGAAATTAATTTTAAAATATAATTTATTTTACACACATGTTTCGCATTTCATTGTTTAAGACTTACAAAACATAATCATTATATTTAATATATAGATATTTTTTTATTATTTGAATATTATTAATTACTTTACTGGTGGTGATTTCAATATTTAAACTGATACTTTTATAGTATGTCTTTTTGTTCTTTTTATGTTATTTTATTTTTTTTTAATTTACTTTAAATAGAATTTTCTCATGTTGTTACAATTATCAGCTTATAATAAAAGTGATATTTCAGAAATTTGTCTTTAATTTACACCTCTTTTAACTCAACCCATAATTAAATGAGTAATCTTCTAATAATTCGTATTAACAATACCATTGAAATCAACAAAATGAAACATTAAATTGAATTTCCTTTTTAGTTTGTTTGATATTTATGAAATTAAAATTTGTTAACTTTCCTACTAAACATCTCTAAAAATTGAGAGTGAAACGTCCATACAATTGACAATATGGGAGTGAAACGTCTAGGTGTGAACCGTCTTGGGAGTGAAATGTAACGTCTGACATTCCTATTTTCCAATATTAACTGATACTCAATCACCATTGTAACAGTGATTTTTAAAAAAAAAATATATATAGTCAATTCAGCTCAATTTGACAATGAAAATGAACTTAATGTGACTTTAATGAAAGCATGTTAGCATTCAATTTTTAAAAACCTGTCGATTTTAAAAGCATCCTCTTAAAATCATTTTTCACAAACTTACACATCATCTTTTTGGTCAATATGAATTTGTCTAACACTGCTGCTTGATCCTGATCCCATTTTTTGTTATATTTCTCGTCAAATAAGATATATTTGGACATTTAAATCGTATGGAGTCATAACACACTCGTCCGCCATTTGTGTATACTTAGTAACGAGACTGTGACTAAAGCATTTTCTAAAGTTCAATCGATGTATGCAGCACGATTGTAAACCAGTCAGGCACTGACTGAAAAATGTCTGTCTAAAGTACAGTAATCGTTACTTACCGCAAAAGTACAACGCAGTTTACCTTACAGAGCAAACTGGTCCATCATGTCGTTCTGCTATATCATTAATAATTATATTGATTCTATCATACGTTACCACAAATCACAAAGTAATTATTTATAAGTAATCTTGGTAAATGTAAGAATCATGATTAGAAATGATTTGATGTAACATTTATTATATCTATATTAAGCAGACCTGTAATAGCTAGATTGTTCAAAACAAAATATTCAAAAATCATTCATACATAATACATAAAAATGTTCATACTACGTTATTTTGAACTCTATCATCATTTTATTTTTCAAGAAACATTTAATAAAAAATATCCAAACATAAAATTATATAACATATATATCTATTGTTATCAAATAAATTATATCTGAAGTACATTTATTTTAACTTTTCATCTATTATTCTTGACTGTTGAAAAAATCTTGACCCTGCAATCACTCAAATAGTACAAAAGCTAGGTTGATAATGGACCAAATGGAAAAACATGTACCCTATGTCATTTTTTCACCTGTCTGTCTGCCGTCCGTCCGTTTGTCTGTCTGTCATTGCATTTATAAAATAATAACTGGATCTGGAAATTTTCATAAAAATTACTTACAAACCCCAAAATAATTAAGGTTTATTTTTAGTTGAAATATTGACCTTAGAAATAATTAATAGGGATTAAGGGCTTAGTGTTAATTATAAAAAAAAGATTTTATTATAATTATAATTATAATTATAATTATAATTATAATTATAATTATAATTATTATTATAATTATAATTATTATTATTATTATTATTATTATTATAATTATTTTATCTATTTATTTATGTTTTTGAGGGGTGATGAGGGGGGGGGGGTGATGAAGTACGTGTTGTGAGTAGTGAAGTGTCTATGAACGTTTTGATTTATTGAGGTATGTTAATTGCTAAAACTAAGGATATATGTGTCTGATGTTAGTCTCTTACCCCTGTGGTCAATACATTTTTCTGTTAAGACACCTTAACATTACATGTTTATGTATGTTAAAATGTGTTTGCTTATATACATGATGATATATGTACGTACATGTACATCTTTTCTCCGACACTCCGGCCACGATAGCATTCATCACATTTCATTTTGAAGGGGTAACATTGTTTTCTTAAATGTAGTTCTTACCATTGTTTAAGCATTTCAATCATTTTTCAGAGTCATCGCATTCACCTCACTTCAATTTTAGACACTGTTGCAGTTTGATTCAATTTCAAGCACAATAATTTAGTACGGGAACGGGATTTTATCATTTCCATATTACTTACAACAACAACCAAAATGGCGTCTGTCAAAATTTGTGACAGAATTTCGACTGGAAATGGAAGCAGAAAAGAGCTTATAGGAGTAATGTTTGACCAAGATGTGAAAAAATTTAAAGAGCAGATAGCGTCAGACTTAAAAATTGCTGAAAATGTTTTTGGTAAGGCCAATTTCATCCTATATAAAAACAAAGGAAGTGTACATAATTCGGACAAAAACAATCTGGATATTTTATCAGAAACTTGCATATTGCAAGTAGTTTATGGTGATGACATGTGCAGTTCTTTATTGTGATTACATGCTGACAGTTGTTTATGGTGACTGAAAATGTTGTCCTAGAAAATGTTGTCCTAAGAAAGCATTTTTATTTTGAGGTTTCAAGAAATTGACACTGTTCATGATTCATCAGGATTCAGGGTCAGCTCGGCCCTAAAACGTATTTGGCCTCCGAGTCAGCTCGGCCCTCGAGTCAGCTCGGCCCTTTTCCAACTGGTCACGGGTTAGTCAAATATAATATGAAATTAGGTGCTACCTATGGCGCGGAAAGCTCTTATGAATTATGATTTTAGCATAGTGTACTTGTAAACCAGATCTTTTTTGAATAAACAAAACGTATAAATTGGTGGTGTTCAACCTATCACCGGAAACGCTCGGCCTATTCCGAAAAACTCCGGACCTCTGCGCATGCGTCGGCGTTTGGAAAATCCCGTCCGCCATTTTTGTTAATCTCTAATCACAGTTGTTGTTTTTACGTTATTTTTAATGTGCTAATTTATCAAAAAGGATATGTTTGAATAACTTTTTATATTTATAGTCGTTACTATAATTTTTATCAATGAAATGCAGGTTTATTTTCTGATTTTGTACATCATTCTTCACCGGAAGTGTTACTAAGCATGCGTCTGCAATAGTCTGAATTATGTAGACGCTCATTAAAAGCGTTCAAAAGGATTTCAAAATGGCGGCGCCCAGTTAACTAAGGATTTTTTCGCAGCCCATTAAGTATAGGATATATATTTTTTTGAAATTTTCATATAGTTTGAATTTGATTTCCTTTAAACTGATACGCGTCATACATGTTATCTAAGAGCACTACAGCCCTCGCGGGGCCTTCGGCCCCGCTCGGACTTTCCGCGTATTAGACGTTACAGGCTTGTTATAGTTTATGTCTGTCAAGTCTGACGTCTAATATAGTTATTGCTCATAAACGCATTACATCATAAAAAATTCAAAAAATGACTATTGTCATGCCTTACAAGCTTTATTCAAAAGCTTATCTTCTTTTCTTTCAATTTCATGCTCAATCATAAACAAAAACTCTCAAACAATGTACAATTTAAAATAAATTATAAACATCAATCTATTTTTGTCTATCAGCCATACTGGTTAAGCAAGGTGCTTTAAAGATTGATTCCAAACTTTTGAAAGGAAAAATATATTCGAACACACTGACGTTAGAATGTTCTGACTCAGTTAAACACTTGCATTTGAATTAGCCAATCAGATTTCGCGCACTGTATGACCGCCATTTGTTTATCGGCTGTAAAAGGAATTTAAAAATTAAATACATGAGAGGATTTAATCATGATTTTTCGGATGTGACAGTTTAATTATTTTGACAAAAGGTATCTATTTTTAAACCCCCACAAACGAAGTTTAGGGGGGGTATATAGGAGTCAGCTTGTCAGTCGGTCCGTCCGTCAGTCCACATCATGGTTTCCGGACGATAACTAGAGTTTGGAATGAGGTATTGTAATCAAACTTTGTATATAGCAACCTTATGTGGAAACTCTTGTTGGTATTGCATTTGGACCCCCTTGGGTCAAGGTCAAGGTCACCATTACTAAAAATAGAAAAATGGTTTCCAGACAATAACTAGAGTTAGGAATGAGATATTGTTATCAAACTTGGCGTATAGCAAGCTTATATGAAGACCTAGGTTGGTATTGCATTTGGGCCCCCTGGGGTCAAGGTCACCGTTACAAAAAAAAGAAAAATGGTTTCCGGACAATAACTTGACTTAGGAATGAGATACTGTAATCAAACTTGGTGTATAGCAAGCTTATATAAAGACCTGGGTTGGTATTGCATGTGGACCCCCTGGGGTCAAGGTCAAGGTCACCGTTACTAAAACTAGAAAAATGGTTTCCGGACAATAACTAGAGTTAGGAATGAGATATTGTTATCAAACTTGCTTATATCAAGACCTTGGTTTGTATTGCATTTGGGCCCCCTGGGGTCAAGGTCAAGGTCACCGTTATGAAATATAGAAAAATGGTTTTCGGACAATAACTATAGTTATGAATGAGATATTTTAATCTTATTTGGTGTATAGGAAGCTTATATGAAGACCTAGGTTTGTATTGGTTTTGGACCCCCTAGGGTCAAGGTCACCGTTACAGTGTTACTGAAAATAGAAAAATGGTTTCTGGACAATAACTAGAGTGAGGAATGAGATATTGTAATCAAACTTGGTGTATAGCAAGCTTATTTTGAGATCCCAGTTGCGATTACAATTAATTGAAATATTTCTTTGTACACAGTTGATAGTTTGTGTTCAAATTTTTCTTCAGACTACTTTTTTTTCAAAAAGTCAAAGTTGCTGGTGGGGGTATTAATCACCTTCAGTGATAGGTCTAGTTTAGTTTTGTTCATAAATAGGTCAAAACTAATGCAAATACACGCTGTCTTAATTGTTTTTCGTTTCATCTGATTTTCTTGCGGAACATGCTATGGGTTTTTGAGCAATTTTGATATAACATTGCTTTGCCCAGAAGCAAATATGTCTCAAAGCGACGTCATATTTATAGGACTAGGCACGGGTCAACACGGCCCACTTTTCAATTTTATATATTCATATATTGGTTTGTTTTATCACTCAATATTGTCGGAATAATTAATATATGGACTTATTCTCAAACGTGGAAAGATGTTTTCTTAAATTATTATCTTCCTCTATTATTACCAATCAATTACCACGTGTATGTTTAGGGAAAGGTACCAACAAATTTCTTCTAAATATACTTTAATTCGACAGAAGTACAATGTACAATTATATTATAATAAACCAGATATCTCTTATTTTATTATTGATAAAATTTTTTCGCCTTTACAACATGCAAGTAATCGAAAAAAGTTAATATGTATAATAATGTTTTTTTTTTTAAGAGGGCCGAGTTGACCCATGCCGAGTTGGTATAGGGCGGAGTTGACTCTTTACCGTTCATCAGTGACAAGTTTAGATGTTCTTTTTAGAAAGTCTTGCTGTTAAACACGATTGAATCTGATTCAATTAATCATTAGATATACAAGAATGATAATTTGACAGCATAGGGTATTTATTTAGACATTGATTTGTCAGTGACTAAATTATTTGATTTATTCCCAGTTTTATGATTTCAGATATTATATATTGTGGCCAATGTTTGAAGGAAGGTGTGAGTTTAGAGTCCAGTGGTGTACATCAAGGGTCAACAGTTCATGTTGTCTCCAAACCAGTTCAGAATCAAAGCTCACCTGAAAAAGGTAAATGTAAAGGGACTTTGAATAAATATGTCATTAACAAATCAAACATAACAGTCTGTGACAACTGACTAAAGATATTATATTTTCTTTTAGTTGGCTAATACTAGTAATACAATATTGATTTTTTTTGTACTTATTTACTGTACATCATCTGCAGGGCAATACGTTTGAGAGAACATTTGAATACCATTTGAGAGAACATTTGAATACCATTTGAGAGAACATTTGAATACCATTTGAGAGAACGAAGATTTTGGTTGCAGCTGAGACGTGTTGTTTTAGATCATAATTACTTCTAAATATGAATTAATTTGATTAATTACATATACATGAAATCAGATATTTTAATAGTTATTTAAATAATAAAACACCAAAGAAATTGTGATTTTATCAAATACATTTCACTGTCATGTAAATCAGTTTCAACTCTGGTAAAGATGCTGGAAGGTTGACATTTTCTTCTTTGCTGCCAGCTCTTGCATTATTTAAATTAATGCAGGGACACGCATCTCAGGTCTTCATCCACCTCCCTAGAACTGCAATATTACCTGCACAATGTCCAAGTCAACAAATGTAGATTGATTTTAATAAACAAACTATGTTTTATTTACAGGTGAGATAGCCAATTCTGAAGTAAAACAGTTACTGGGTCTACTGCAATCAACACTGAAGAGTCCTGCTTATAAGTCAACAGTATGTCATATTACATATCTATTATATATAAATAAAAGTACTAATAAACATTTTGTAAATCATATAGATTTTAAATGTTATTTGGTGATTTTTTGTTAAACAAGTTTAGAGCTACATTTTTAGGCATCCATGGTTAAGTGGCTGTGGGTTTGATTTCACTTTATTACCACAATTTTGAATTTGGTTTAACCTTGGTTAGATTTGTGCTGTTATATACCTACAGGTAGAGAGTATAGTGAACTCCCCAGAAAAACTTCATGATATTGTGAAAGATGTTCCTGGATTAGACAACTACCCATCAACATTCAGTAAGACATCTATAATTATTCATCATCTTTTTAATCATCTTAACTTTATTTGTAATTATTTTAACCCATAACCTGCTAATTAGTCCCCTACCGGTTTACCGGAGGGGACTTTAGGTTTACCCTCCGTCCGTCTGTCCGTCCGTCAGTCCGTCTGTCCGTCCGTCCGTCAGTCCGTCCGTCCACAAAACTGGATCCCGCGATAACGCAAAAAGTACTGAAAATATTTTAATGAAACTTGATATATGGATAGATGGCAGTATGGAGATTATGCACGTCTTTTTCTTTTCTTCCTATGTTGAAAATTCTGGTTGCTATGGCAACAAATAGACTGAAAATATGACAAATTTTACACATAAACTGGATCCCGTGATAATGCAAAAAGTACTGAAAATATTTTTATGAAACTTGATATATGGATAGATGGCAGTATGGAGATTATGCACGTCTTTTTCTTTTCTTCCTATGTTGAAAATTCTGGTTGCTATGGCAACAAATAGACTGAAAATATGGCAAATTTTACACATAACCTGGATCCAGTGATAACACAAAAAGTACTGAAATATGTTTATGAAACTTGACATATGGGTAGATGGCAGTATGGAAATTATGCACATCCTTTTCTTATCTTCCTATGTTGAAAATTCTGGTTGCTATGGCAACAAATAGACTGAATTTCAAGATTTCTTATTCTAGTTTTTAAGTTTTTTCACTATAAGTTCTTTATTTCTTAAGGTATTTTCTTCAAACTTTAAATATAAGTTGCTTGTCATCAACCATATCATATGTGGCAAGGTTTACAACTCTAGTACAAAATTTATCAGAATTACCTCCCTTGAACTTAAAATTTTCATGAAAAAAACATTGTTTTTTTTTAATAACTTCTTTTTCTAAATGTATCTACTTCAAACTTCATATAAATGTTTCTTATTGTCACTCAACATTTGTGAGTGTTCAATACTCTAGCAAGACTATTTCCAGAATTATTCCCCTTTTTGAACTTAGACTTTTTTTTGAGAAATTGGTAATTTTTACCCCAACTTCTTCAATCATGATAGGATTTTAAAAATGATATATTTTGATAACAGGGATGTTTAAAAAATAACTTTAGAGTGTCCTTCAGTCCGTCTGTCTGTACATAAAAACTGTTTCCTGTGATCACTTTTAAAGAACTTTTTCAACAAATTAACTTAGAATAGGAACATAAGTGAATGGCCCTTCAGAATGTTGCTTGGGCTCTTACCGGTAGGGGACTTATGGATTGCTTGCAATACTATGATAATTGCTTGTTATCTTAAATCTGGACAAAATCATTTACAAATATATCATTTTTAGGGAAAATTGAAAAATATTTACTGACTGACTTAGCAAACAGTGCAGACCATGATTGATCTGTGTTGCACTGGCTGAATGGGTAGAATATGTAAGTTGCTGCAAGCTAAAGGTAAAAAACATTGAATGATTATCATAACAAAATATTGGAATTATTTTATCTTTAAAATGGCTAGAGCTGTCGATAGAAACAATAATGATGCATCATCAATATTTCTTGTCAATCAATAATTGATAGGAATTTCAAAAATTGGACAGTTTTGACTATTAAATTGATTAAAGTCTAGAAATTATGAAAATACACCCAAAACATATACATTTGTACAGCTGTCCATGTCTAACACAATGCTCTTGTTACATAATGGAAATATTTCATAGCAGTGATGCCATAAAATCGTCAGGAAAAAAATCATGCATTCACAAATAAAAGGGTATGAAAGTGAATGACAGACAAGTTATTATAGGTAATTAGTCAATTTATCTGTGTACCATTGATATTTGTCATCTGATATTGATACATCGTTGATTTTCTTTGCACGGAATCAATGACAGCTGTAAAAGTTGCCTTTGTGAAAATGATTTTTAAGATGATTATTTTCAGCTTTTTTTTTTAAATATTACAATGCTGTAATACAGTTTAATATACAAATGTACATATACCTGTAACCTTCCAGCTTTGTTCATGGATCATGATTTAATGACTGTACTTGCACATCCCGGAAATATAAGAAGGTAAGATCTTGTCATATTAAAATTTAAAGAATCTATGATTAAGGATATTCAGATGCTTTAGTTATAATAATCAGGACATTTATAGGCCTGACTGATTTTTAGCTCTACTATTCGAAGAATATGAGAGCTATTGTAGTCGCTTTGGCGTCCGCGTCGGCGTCTGCGTTGGTTAAAGTTTTTTAGCTCGACTATTCGCAGAATAATCGAGCTAATGCAGTCACCCATTTGTCGGCGTCGGCGTCCCTGTGGTTAAGTTTTTGCATGTAAGCTGGTATCTCCATAACTACTGAAGGGAATGGATTGAAACTTCACACACTTGTTCCCTGTGATTATCTAAGATGATTGGCACAAGTCCCATAACTCTGATTTGCTTTTTTACATAATTATGCCCCTTTTTCGACTTAGAAATTCTTGGTTAAGTTTTTGTGTGTAAGCTGGTATCTCCATAACTACTGAAGGGAATGGATTGAAACTTCACACACTTGTTCTCTGTGATTATCTAAGATGATTGGCAGAAGTGCCATAACTCTGATTTGCTTTTTAGCTCGACTTTTCTATGAAAAGGGGAGCTATCCTACTCGCCCCGGCGTCGGCGTTAGCGTTGGCGTCACACCTTGGTTAAGTTTTTCGTACCACCCCACTTTATTTCAGAAGTATTACAAGTATGGCTTTGAAACTTACCATACTTGTTCACCATCATAACCTCCATCTACAGACAAGAGTACATAACTCTGTCAAGGTTTTTGACAGAATTATGGCCCTTTTTTGACTTAGAAAGTGTATTGAGCTTGGTTAAGTTTTTTGTACCACCTCACTTTATTTCAAAACCATTGGAGGTATTGCTTTGAAACTGACCATACTTGTTTACCATCACGACCTTCATCAACAGACAAGAGGACATAACTCTGTCAAGGTTTTTGACAGAATTATGCCCCTTTTTGACTTAGAAAATACATTGAATATGGGTAAAATCCACTTATTGCCTTAACCCTTTGAGATATTGCTTTGAAACTTTTAATGCTATTTCACATCATTACCCCCATCTGTACGCAAGAGAAGGTAACTCTGTCAAGGATTTGTTTTAAAAATTAAGGCCTTTTATCGACTTAGAATCTTGGTTAAGTTTTTAGTACCAGTCCACTTTTTGACTGAACTGTTTGAGATATTAATTTGAAAGTTGGAATACTTGTTTACCATCATGGTCCCAAAACATGGGCAGGAGAAGGTAATTCTGTTAAGGATTTTATTTGAATTATGGCCCTTTTTGACTTAGAAACTCAGTTAAGATTTTCATTCTTGTCCACTTGTTGACTTAACCATTTGAGATATTACTTTGGAAGTTGGAGTTCTTATGTGCCATCATGAGACCTATCTGTAAGCAAGAGAAGATAACTCTGTGAAAATGTTTCTTGATTTGTACTTAGAAATTCCTAGTTAAAGTCTTGTGTGCCCTTAACTGTCAAAGTTTTGTTTTATAGGCAAGCACTAAAAAAGTCGAGCGCGCTGTCCTTCTGACAGCTCTTGTTTACATAATTATGCCCCTTTTTAGCTCGACTATTCGTAGAATAATCGAGCTAATGCAGTCACCCATTTGTCGGCGTCGGCGTCGGCGTCCCTGTGGTTAAGTTTTTGTATGTAAGCTGGTATCTCCAGAACTACTGAAGGGAATGGATTGAAACTTCACACACTTGTTCTCTGTGATTATCTAAGATGATTGGCACAAGTCCCATAACTCTGATTTGCTTTTTTACATAATTATGCCCCTTTTTCGACTTAGAAATTCTTGGTTAAGTTTTTGTATGTAAGCTGGTATCTCCATAACTACTGAAGGGAATGGATTGAAACTTCACACACTTGTTCTCTGTGATTATCTAAGATGATTGGCACAAGTCCCATAACTCTGATTTGCTTTTTTACATAATTATGCCCCTTTTTCGACTTAGAAATTCTTGGTTAAGTTTTTGTATGTAAGCTGGTATCTCCATTACTACTGAAGGGAATGGATTGAAACTTCAAACACTTGTTCTCTGTGATTATCTAAGATGATTGGCACAAGTCCCATAACTCTGGTTTGCTTTTTTACATAATTATGCCCCTTTTTCGACTTAGAAATTCTTGGTTAAGTTTTTACGTGTAAGCTGGTATCTCCATAACTACTAAAGGGAATGGATTGAAACTTCACACGCTTGTTCTCTGTGATTATCTAACATGATTGGCACAAGTCCCATAACTCTGATTTGCTTTTTTGCATAATTATGCCCCCTTTTCGACTTAGAAATTCTTGGTTAAGTTTTTGCATGTAAGCTGGTATCTCCATAACTACTAAAGGGAATGGATTGAAACTTCACACGCTTGTTCTCTGTGATTATCTAACATAATTGGCACAAGTCCCATAACTCTGATTTGCTTTTTTGCATAATTATGCCCCCTTTTCGACTTAGAAATTCTTGGTTAAGTTTTTGCATGCAAACTGGTATCTCCATAACTACTAAAGGGAATGGATTAAAACTTCACACACTTGTTCTCTGTGATTATCTAACATGAATGGCATAAGTTCCATAACTCTGATTTGCTTTTTTGCATAATTATGCCCCTTTTTTGACTTAGAAATTCTTGGTTAAGTTTTTGCATGCAAGAAAATCTCCATAACTGCCAAAGGGAATGGATTGAAACTTCACACACTTGTTCGCTGTGATTATATAACATGATTGGCACAATTAAGTCCCATAACTCTGATTTGCTTTTTTGCATAATTATGCCCCTTTTTCGACTTAGAAATTCTTGGTTAAGTTTTTGCATGCAAGCTGGTATCTCCATAACTACAGAAGGGAATGGATTGAAACTTCACACACTTGTTCTCTGTGATTATCTAAGATGATTGGCACAAGTCCCATAACTCTTATTTGCTTTTTTACATAATTATGCCCCTGGTTCGACTTAGAAATTCTTGGTTAAGTTTTTGCGTGTAAGCTGGTATCTCCATAACTACTAAAGGGAATGGATTGAAACTTCACACACTTGGTCTCTGTGATTATCTAAGATGATTGGCACAAGTCCCATAACTCTGATTTGCTTTTTTGCATAATTATGCCCCTTTTTTATCTTAGAAATTCTTGGTTAAGTTTTTGCGTGTAAGCTGGTATCTCCATAACTACTGAAGGGAATGGATTGAAACTTCACACACTTGGTCTCTGTGATTATTTAAGATGATTGGCACAAGTCCCATAACTCTGATTTACTTTTTCGCATAATTATTCCCCTTTTTCGATTCATAAATTCGTGGTTAAGTTTTTGTGTGTAAGCTGGTATCTCCATAACTACTGAAGGGAATGGATTGAAACTTCACACACTTGTTCTCTGTGATTGTATTGAAACTTGAAGGGTTTGTACCTTTTCGTACAATTTTATGTATTCATATAGGTAAGCATTATTATACTCAATGAAACACCCTTGTGACAAATTTTCGAATAGTCGAGCGTTACTGTCCTCCGACAGTTCTTGTTTTACTTAGAAATTCTTGGTTAAGTTTTTGCGTGTAAACTGGTATCTCCATAACTACTGAAGGGAATGGATTGAAACTTCACACAATTGTTTCCTGTGATTATCTAAGATGATTGGCACAAGTGCCATAACTCTGATTTGCTTTTTATGCCCCCGCCATGTAATGGCCGGGGCATATAGTGTTACCCTGTTCCGTCATTCCGTCCTTCCGTCCTTCCGTCCTTCCGTCCTTCCATCCTTCCGTCCTTCCGTCCTTCCGTCATTCTGTCATTCCGTCATCATCAGTTTCCGTTCATTATCTTAAGAACGGTTGGACATATTCAACTCAAATTTGACATATGGATATGTCATGAGAAAATACAGGTCAAGTTCGAATTTGGTCATGGTTCGATGATTTTTGGCAGAGTTATGCCCCTTTTACTTTGAAAATAATATGAAATTTCAGTTTCCGTTCATTATCTTAAGAACGGTTGGACACATTCAATTCAAACTTGACATATGGATATGTCATGAGAAAATACAGGTCAAGTTCGAATTTGGTTATGGTTCGATGATTTTTGGCAGAGTTATGCCCCTTTTACTTTGAAAAAAATATGAAATTTTCAGTTTCCGTTCATTATCTCCCCAATGGTACAACACAATCAACTCAAACTTGACATATTGATATGTCATGAAAAAATACAGGTCAAGTTCGAATTTGGTCATGGTTCGATGATTTTTGGCAGAGTTATGCCCCTTTCACTTTGAAAGTAATATGAAATTTTCAGTTTCCGTTTATTATCTTCCCAATGGTACAACACATTCAACTCAAATTTGACATATGGATATGTTTTTGGAATGCCCAGGTCAAGTTCAAATTTGGTCATGGTTCAATGATTTTTGGTAGAGTAATGCCCCTTTCACTTTGAAAATAATATGAAATTTACAGTTTCTGTTCATTATCTACCCAACAGTGTCACATATTCAACTTTAATTTGACATATGGATATGTCAAAGGAATGGGCAGGTCAAGTTGGAATTTGGTCATGGTTTGATGATTTTTTGGCAGAGTTTGTCTCTTTCACTTTGAAAATAATATAGATACATCTTAGGAATAAGCAGTTTAAGTTGGAATTTGGTTATGGTTCAATGATTTTAGACAAACTTATCTTTCCTGAATGTTGGAAAAATTTTGAACTTTCAGTTTCACCACTCATTCTTTTAGCCATTATTTTGGCTACAAATATGCAATATGCTATTTCTAAAAGGTTAAGACTGAATAATTTCAGTGCCTTGAACATTGTATGGAAATGGTTTGTGTTAACATTGAAAAGTTTTAAGGGCTTTGAACTTAAAATGAAAAAAATAAATAATGCACCATCTGAAATTTTGGCTGCATGCGGGGGCATCTGTGGCATGATGACACATTTCTAGTTTATATAATTATGCCCCTTTTTCGACTTAGAAATTCTTGGTTAAGTTTTTGTGTGTAAGCTGGTATCTCCATAACTACTGAAGGGAATGGATTGAAACTTCACACACTTGTTCTCTGTGATTATCTAAGATGATTGGCAGAAGTCCCATAACTCTGATTTGCTTTTTTACATAATTATGCCCCTTTTTTGACTTAGAAATTCTAGGTAAATTTTTGCTTGTTTGACGGTATCTCCATAACTACTGAAGGGTTTGTACCTTTTCGGACAATTTTATGTATTCATATAGGTAAGCATTATTATACTCAATGAAACACCCTTGTGACAACTTTTCGAATAGTCGAGCGTTACTGTCCTCCGACAGTTCTTGTTGTAAATTCAAATATCTCAATTATTGCTCGAGATACTCAATTTAAAATTACAATACTTATTTATAGTAACAATGTACATCAGATTGACAAGTAAGATAGCTCTGCCTACAATATTGACAGAATTATGCCCCTTTTTAAATTTTGGTTCAAGTTTTTTGTAAAGTCAAATATCTCAATTACTGCTTGAGATATTCAATTGAAACTTACAATACTTATTTATAGTAACAATGTACATCAGATTGACAAGTTAGATAACTCTGCCTACAATATTTACAGAATTATGCCCCTTTTTAACTTAGAAATTTTGGTTAAAGTATTTTGTAAAGTCAAATATCTCAATTATTGCTTGAGATATTCAATTGAAACTTACAATACTTATTTGGTTAAAGGTTAAAGGTCTTCAAAGATATTTATTTGAAACTTTACACATGTACTTAGGGTCATAATTGGAGAGTCATAATTGTATGTCACTGACCAAGTTCCATAACTCTACTCGCATTTAGGCTGATTCATCTTCCCTTTTCTACTTAGTCTCTTGGTTAATGTTTACATGCAAGTTTTACATATCTCAATAACTATTAAAGATATTTATTTAAAACTTCACATATGCATTAATTTTAGAATCATAATTGTAGGTCACTGACCAAGATCCATAATTCTATCTTGCATTTAGGCTCATTTTTCTCCCCTTTTTCAACTTAGAAATTCATGGTAAAGTTTTGCTTGTAAGCTGTTATCTCCATAACTACTGAAGAGTTTGTGCATTTTTTTGGACATTTTTATGCATTCATAATAATAAAGCAGTGATTTACTTGATAAAACATCTTAATAACAAGCCTTTGTACCTTTTCAGTCAATTTTATGTATTCATAGGTAATTAGCATTATTATACTCAATAAAACACCCTTGTGACAACTTTTTAATAGTCAAGCCAATAATGTCCTCCGACAGTTCTTGTTACAAGTTCTAGTCAGATAGTGTGTTTCCAAAAGGGTACTGCAGTACTTTATTTTTCTGGCAAATTGTAATAAGAAAAAAACTTAATTTCATTCATTTATTTTACAAGTATTAACTGTTGGGTCTTTAAAGTACACAATGACTATCTAAGTTTAAGTTTATGAGTTCTGACCATGATGTCTATGTCAGTCTGTCAGGTTTGTAACTGGTGCTACATGTACATGTACTTATGTGGTAACAGCTGGGACGGGACTACTTTGTCTGCACCAGATTTGTTATACAGGGGTCTTTAGTTCGATCCTAAGTTGAGGCAAAAATTTCACCGATAATTGATCGCAGACACTAGTCTAATAGTCATTTGTCTCTTACTGCTGATTTAAAAACATGTGGAATTAATGGTCACTTGCAAAGATATTAGTAATTACTGGTCATTTCACCATGCAAGCCAGTTAGGTAGACTGATCTCCAAGATACGTTCTAAAACATGTTGAAATTGGCATAAAAACCAACTAAAAAAACAATTTTTGAAATTTTATTTATAAGATGATGTATTGTAATAACACTAGGTTTTGATATTCTGTATGCAGAGTTATCGAGGCACATCCATGTTTTCCTAAAGTAGCGAAGAAGATAGTAGAGGCTGTGAAGGCTGCAGATAGTAGCGGAGAGTTTACACACAGCACAACAGGGGCGTACTCCCTAGATCAGATGTCCGACGATGATGAGGAGATGCCAGGACCAGTAAGTATAAACTCTCTGTGTAAATTACTCTTACCTGGATCAGCTTTTGCCTAACTTTATTGCAGACCTTTGTAGCAGGGTAGTTAAGGGTGCCAACTCTTTGATCACTTGTCCTTCACTGCTATGGTATGAAAGTGTCTTTAGATTCTTTCAGGTGCAAGCTTTGGAAAGGTTGGTTGTTCTACTAAGGTGCGCGCCTATAACTGTAATAGGCTGAGAGATAGACACTTCAGGTTCTTCTGAAGTTGGAAAGTAGCCATATGAATGGGACAGTGTCAGTGTGACGTATGACCCAATAACAACGAAAAAGTTTAAGTGCACTAAGTTGGTTTTACATACATATACCAGCTAGCCAACAGATTGTATGCGGTTTTATATTTTGAGTCAGTTTTAATACTATTCTAATAAAAACTGGTTTGTCTTTTACAGTTTTAGTGGATAATATAATATTGTGGGTTATTGTTGGATTATTTTGTCAATGATTTATTACATGTAAGTATTATACTGTTGTAATTTTTCACATTGGATATGCTACATTTGTTTCAGAGTACTGCACAAGCAATCACATCATCTCAGTTGGCAGCTGCTCTTGCTGCTGCTACAGGGGGAACAACACAGGTTAAATATTTTTTATCTCCCTTGGAAATTCATTACACACTTTATAAATCTCTTACCATTTCATATAATTTAATAAATCATTTACCATGCTAAATTTCCTAAAAGAACTTTGCAGTCTTTCAGTTTGAGCAAAACCGTTCGTAATTTTTTGGGAAACTTTCAAAAAAACTTTTAAGTGGTCTCAAAAAACTGCTACTTAAACCATATGGGTGACTCACTTCTTGTTAACTAAGACAATATCAGGATCAGGATCTTATTTTCATTTTTTATGTTACTTAAATTAATCGTGTTTTGCTAGAATAAAATGTTTAATATTCAAAATGTAAAAAATTGCTGATTTGCAAAGAAACCAAATTATTTTGGGATAAAATAACCAAATAACAAAACAAATACAAAAATATTCGGATCAAAATAAGGATCAATTTTAGGATCAACTGTAAAATGCTCGTATCTTGCAAAAATAACAATAAATTTATTCTAAAATTTCATAACTTGCTATTTAATCTATGAGGATAAACAATGAAGTACATGTATATTAGAGTTTTTAAATTTGATCCTGATCTAAATGTCCTTATATAATGTCTGTTTATATATGTGTGTATGGATAATACAAGTATATAACTTACAGGGTAACCAGAGTGAACCTATCGGAGGAGGTGGCGGGGTCATCTCACCAGATTTCTTTCAACAAGCAATAATGGCCGCTCAGAGAGATCCGCTATCTGTAAGTACTGTTTCTTGCCTCATGTCAAATTAAATTGAGTGAATCAATAGTTTAAACATATTTGTTTGAGCCTTGTTGTGATGAAGGCTTGAAGTTGATAAAACTGTTTCCTGAAACTTACCAGTACTGTTGTGTCTCAGGACAAGTTCAGGGAAGGACTTCTTTTGGTCTTCTTCCAGCAATAAGGCAAGGAAGTCAAACATATGTAACTTACATCTTAACATGTTGTATTTCTTACATAAACTTCCAGTTCATTTTTGGAATTTATAAATTTAAGAGATGTCAGGATTAAAATTTGAAGTTCAACAACAGTATAGAGCCTGGTCAGACTGCACAAAAGTTCAGGCTAGCATAGTTATATACTGGTGGCAATGGCAAATGTTTTTTCTGCTCCAGCAGTATCAGGGTTAACAAGTGGGGGGGGGATACCAAAAGACATGCCAATACAAATACAACCAATTAATGTTTATGAAAAAGTAATATATCTATGGTTTTCATTAACAAAGACTTTCTTTTTTGATGTATGGAACAATATACTTATTTCCACTCTTAACTTGCTGAAACTAAAAAAAAAGTAGTGATTAGCCTTTGCCACCAGTATAGAGACCGGCTTGCCTGTACTTTCATGTTTGTCCAAGCTCTATAATTGGCTCGCTTTTTGTATTTTGATACCAAAATCCCTTAAACTTTTGAATAAACTATTCCAAATTTCCCAAAACAAATTTAAATCAAAATTTAAAAAAATTCAGGTGTTTTAATTTGGGAAAAACCCTTTTAAATGTTTTAAAATTTGATTACCCCTGTTTCAAAATTTAGGGGCCCAATTTAAGTCCATTACAAATAATTAAATTCAAAAAAATTAATGTTTTAAACGAAGATTTTTTATTAATTTTGATAAAACGCACATATTTTTTACTTACTTTCCCAAAGTTATTATCAAAAGTCAAAATTCGCAGATGAGAGGGAAAATTGGGGGTTACCCGATGAGAATGTGGCGAACAAAACCTTACAAAGGGGACCCAAAAGGTGATTTTTCAGGCAAACCCTTTATTTTTTTTTGGAGGCGGGTTCTTTGTAAAAAAAGTCTTTACCATTAACAAAATTTTCTTTAATATTGTCTGTGATCAAAACTTGACTTAATGTAATGCATTGTACATTTTTCATGAATATACTGTTAAAATATCCATAATCTTGTTTATATTTAGCTCGTCTGTTTCGCAGAAAAAGTCAAGATATTATGATTGCTGTGGCATCGTTGTCGTTGTGCAAAAACTTTAATGTAGCCTGTTATTCAAACATTTTAAAAGTTAGGAACATGAAACTTGGAATACTAGCTTATTATGACAGATGCAGATGTTAGACTGGGGGGTGGGGGTGGGATTCTGAAAGCAATATTTTTGGAGTAATGCCCCTTTTTAAAAGTAGAATTTTTAACGCCCAACAGTGTTGTTGTTATAATTTTGATTGAAGTTTTATTTAAGATTTTATTTAATTTGTAACATTTAATATTCTTCCATTTGAAGAACTTGCCAGCTAGCTTATGGAAGGTTCGTGGCTCTACTCAAGTGCCCTCTTGTATCTGACATTACATAAAGGGGCACCCAAGGTTTTCCTTCACTGAATGAACTCGAAAAGGTGAAATATAATTTTAACAGTGTTAGTGCGACTTGAAAACCAACTTAAGAAAAAAATGATGCATGAGGGATTATGCGGAAGGTATGGGGCTTGTTTATTGTTGGTTTGTTCTACCCAAAAATAACCCCTTGTTCCTAAAAATTTTAAAGCAAACCCTTTAAAGTCCCAAAAGTAGTCTTCACCTGTAAAATTTGTTATTTCTTACATCGAAAAGCCCAATTTTTCCCCCCATTCCCCAAAAAAACCAATTTTTTAATTGGGAAAAAAATGGGCCCCCCTTTTTTCAATCTGAAAAAATCATTTTTTCATTTTAAAAGGGAAAAATTTCAAAATATGTTTTGTGGAAATTTAAAGGGCCCTTTTATTAGATGACTTTAAGGGGAACCCAAAGGAAAGTGCCAGTAGCCTTGGTCTGCATTTGGTTTGCATGGGTGAGTCTGTTACCCCCATTTTTGGGTTTAAAGGGTTTTAAAAAAATTTAAATAAATTAACCCAAAAATTTTTTTTGCTTAGAAAATACTTCATACAATTAAAGTCCATTTCCGTTTAAATTCTTCAAAGATAAGTTGGTAATATTTTTATTTTTATGTAGGAAACAAGATAAGATTAAGCCTGTTTACACTGAACCTTAGTTAAAATATAAGAATCATTTATAAATCAGAGATCAAAGTAGTTTTGCTATATTAAAATTTACTTCTCAAAATAATATTGATTACCTCCCTTTGACCAGAAAATTGAAAATATTCTGTTGTATGTTTTCTTTAGCAACATTATAAATTTTTAATGATAATATGAAATGGATTTACCCTAAACTGGTTCTGTTTTGGATTTATAAAATTTGATTTTACGGGTGTTATTTGAAATTTGTATAATATAAAAAACTGTTTAGTGAAAAGTATCAAGAAATATCACTGTAACCTTTTAATTTATTTACATATTTGCAAAATTTTGTAATTTCGTTATAGATTAGGTACAGTGCTGTAAGAAAAAGTTTACTTTAACAACTTTTAAAGTTATTTTTATTTATAATTATAATGTATATATAAAGAGCGGATAGGAAAACTCCCAATTTTTGTTAAAATGTTTACAGGTATAATTCAGTCTGAACTATTGTTGTATACTTTTTGATCAGTTGTGTTGGAATTTGATTTGTAAAGGGTTCCAAACTGTAGAACTAATATATGTATGTAGAAAATATTGTGACTATTTAAGTATGTTTGCCTTGTTTTAAGGTGTTTTTACTTTGGGGATTATGAGGAAAAAGTACACTTCATACATGACTCAAATTTTAATAAAATACTTGTGAACTGATTAAGAGTGCTGGTGAATATTTTAGTATTTTTGTCTTGCTTTAAGGATTTAAACTTTGGGGATTGTGAGGAAAAAAATAACACTTCATTCTTTACTCACATTTAAATAACATACTTGTGAACTGATTTAGAGTGCTTGCTGGTAGCATATGACCCTACCCATGTGATAAGTGCCATCTTCTCATGGTCTGCGCTATATTCTAATTAATTTTACCCTAAAAATGATGAATGGTTTTGTCCAAATTGATAGATGGACGAGTCAATTTAAGGTATTTAGGTATTGTTAGGGTTCTCACACTTATCATTGCACAGAATCGTATGCAGGACACTTTAATTATTAAATTAGACAGATTATTTCAACCATGCAACAAAATTAAGAATATATTTGGTTAAAAAAAAAAACATTTTTGAGGTTTAGTACACTACTTGAAAGGAGTTTAAATATCCGTTAAAAACATCTTTTCTCGTATTTAACTTCCCTGTTTAATAATATTTTATCGGCAAATCTTGAAAAAAATCTCAACTTTCAAGTATGAACACCCCTTAACTTATCAAATTCGGTCATTAGAGAGTCACTGCCAATAATAGCGCATTGGGGATACGGGTGCAAGGGAGTTAACTCTTGTGTAAAATGTTATTATCCGAACTGCGATTGCGTCCCTTTACTCGTTATTTTAACAAATAATTGGGGAGTTAAAATAAGGCACGACTTAATTGTAGCTATTTCAAACAGAACAGAACAAATGGTTTATTCAGATTTGTACATAGTACATCATCTTGTATATACATATCAATTATTATATATGTCAACGTGAGATACAATAAGAACAGAATTATTTTTGACAGTAATGGTAGTAATTTGAATACATATATAAATCAAAACAATTAATCATGTATAAGGAGAAAGAACATGTATTAGAGTTATCTCTGTTCAAAACAGGGGATGGACACTTCCCAACTGATTGAAAGTTATTCACCATGCACGACATCCATTTGTAAAAAGGTGTAGATTTAAAAACCTTTGTTACCGAATCACTTCATAAATATAATGAATATTAAATCAGGATCAGTTCATGTTTAATTCCATACTGGAGAAGGTTAGAGCAATTATGGAATTTATAACCCACGTAGGTGAGTAATTAATGGAAATGAGAAAGTCACTTGTCAAATTCAACGGTTGCATGTTGGATGTAATTTTGCACACACAAAAAAATCTTGCAAATCGCACACGTGTCTTGAAGATGCAAAAGTAGAGCAGAAAAAACAAGGTTATGGAAGAGGTGTTCCGAATTTAGTGGGATAAATGTGCTAAAAATCTTAGAGTTGGTGTCGTTACTGAGATAATGCCTCGATTAAACCGTTTTTTCCCCCTCAATTCTTTTCTTAAAAGTTGAATATCTGTGCAAATCAGTTCAGACTTTCGTTGCGTGTAATAATTCTTTTTGTATATGAAAATTTAAGATTTTGCAAAGTGTTTAATTTGGTCGAAAGGGCTGACTTCTTTTCCAACCTTATTAGGAGAGAAAAATAAAAAAAAGAGTGAGTGTAGGACAAAAGCCCCCCCCCCCCCGGACGAAAGCGCCCCCGTCTTAAAATGACAAGGTGGACAAAAGCCCCCCCCCCCATGAAATTTACACATAGGACAAAAGCCCCCCCCCCATCAAAAATACAGGTAGGACAAAAGCCCCCCCCCCCCCCCATCTTTGCTCAGAGCAAATTCATCAAATTTCACACAAACTTTTGAATAAAAGAATTTGTTTTAATGTTTATTTATAATGTGTATATTGAAATGATAACAAAGTATATGATAACAGATGAAATAATGCAAGCATGCGATACTGAATTCATAGCTTTTCATATACACAACAAGGGTCAGAAGAGTAGTAATGTTTAATCACTTTTGTAAATTTGTAAAGTGATCAAATTAATATCCTTAGCTTTATGTCACCTACATGTGATGTCCATACATATCTTTTAAACACATAAAAAACACAACTTTAATACACTATATGTAAATTTGATTGACCATGGGGGGGGCTTTTGTCCTACCTTTACTTTTTCATGGGGGGGGGGGGCTTTTGTCCTATGTGTAAATTTCATGGGTGGGGGGGC